GCCAGAACAGTCCACAGTGCTGGCCAGAACAGTCCACAGTGCTGGCCAGAACAGTCCACAGTGCTGGCCAGAACAGTCCACAGTGCTGGCCAGAACAGTCCACAGTGCTGGCCAGAACAGTCCACAGTGCTGGCCAGAACAGTCCACAGTGCTGGCCAGAACAGTCCACAGTGCTGGCCAGAACAGTCCACAGTGCTGGCCAGAACAGTCCACAGTGCTGGCCAGAACAGTGCTGGCCAGAACAGTCCACAGTGTTGGCCAGAACAGTCCACAGTGCTGGCCAGAACAGTCCACAGTGCTGGCCAGAACAGTCCACAGTGCTGGCCAGAACAGTCCACACTGCTGGCCAGAACAGTCCACACTGCTGGCCAGAACAGTCCACAGTGCTGGCCAGAACAGTCCACACTGCTGGCCAGAACAGTCCACCGTGTTGGCCAGGACAGTCCACACTGCTGGCCAGAACAGTCCACACTGCTGGCCAGAACAGTCCACAGTGCTGGCCAGAACAGTCCACAGTGCTGGCCAGAACAGTCCACACTGCTGGCCAGAACAGTCCACACTGCTGGCCAGAACAGTCCACACTGCTGGCCAGAACAGTCCACAGTGTTGGCCAGAACAGTCCACAGTGTTGGCCAGAACAGTCCACACTGCTGGCCAGGACAGTCCACAGTGCTGGCCAGAACAGTCCACAGTGCTGGCCAGAACAGTCCACAGTGCTGGCCAGAAACAGTCCACAGTGCTGGCCAGAACAGTCCACAGTGCTGGCCAGAACAGTCCACAGTGTTGGCCAGAACAGTCCACAGTGCTGGCCAGAAACAGTCCACAGTGCTGGCCAGAAACAGTCCACAGTGCTGGCCAGAACAGTCCACAGTGCTGGCCAGAAACAGTCCACACTGCTGGCCAGAAACAGTCCACAGTGCTGGCCAGAACAGTCCACAGTGCTGGCCAGGACAGTCCACACTGCTGGCCAGAACAGTCCACACTGTTGGCCAGGACAGTCCACACTGCTGGCCAGAAACAGTCCACAGTGCTGGCCAGAACAGTCTACAGTGCTGGCCAGAACAGTCCACAGTGTTGGCCAGAACAGTCCACACTGCTGGCCAGAACAGTCCACAGTGCTGGCCAGAACAGTCCACACTGCTGGCCAGAACAGTCCACAGTGCTGGCCAGAAACAGTCCACAGTGCTGGCCAGAAACAGTCCACAGTGCTGGCCAGAACAGTCCACAGTGCTGGCCAGAACAGTCCACAGTGTTGGCCAGAACAGTCCACACTGCTGGTCAGAACAGTCCACAGTGCTGGCCAGAACAGTCCACAGTGCTGGCCAGAAACAGTCCACAGTGCTGGCCAGAACAGTCCACAGTGCTGGCCAGGACAGTCCACAGTGCTGGCCAGAACAGTCCACAGTGCTGGCCAGGACAGTCCACAGTGCTGGCCAGAAACAGTCCACAGTGCTGGCCAGAACAGTCCACAGTGCTGGCCAGAACAGTCCACAGTGCTGACCAGGACAGTCCACACTGCTGGCCAGAAACGGTCCACACTGCTGGCCAGAAACAGTCCACAGTGCTGGCCAGAAACGGTCCACACTGCTGGCCAGAAACGGTCCACACTGCTGGCCAGAAACGGTCCACACTGCTGGCCAGAAACGGTCCACACTGCTGGCCAGAAACGGTCCACACTGCTGGCCAGAAACGGACCACACTGCTGGCCAGAAACGGTCCACACAGCTGGCCAGAAACGGTCCACACTGCTGGCCAGAAACGGGCCACACTGCTGGCCAGAAACGGTCCACACTGCTGGCCAGAAACGGTCCACACTGCTGGCCAGAAACGGTCCACACTGCTGGCCAGAAACGGTCCACACTTCTGGCCAGAAACGGTCCACACTGCTGGCCAGAAACGGTCCACACTGCTGGCCAGAAACGGTCCACACTGCTGGCCAGAACAGTCCACACTACTGGCCAGTTGGTAACTTGCTAATTGGAACTTTCTGTCCACTATTATTCAGATTATATATTGAGATTAAATTATTAACAAAGATATATATATATATATATATATATATATATATATATATATATATATATATATATATATATATATTATATATATATATATATATATATATATATATATATATATATATATATGTTAATGTATGGTAAACAGGACTGCTTTATGTTATTTACGATTCATATTTTGCTGACACAGTCCGTCCTCTTAAGGTTTTCCCATCGTCAAGAAACTGTCGTACTAACGTGCCTTATCATAACCTACTAGAGGACCCAAAACAGAAAACGGGACAATTTGTAATTTTCGCGAACCGCTGCCATTTTCTAGTACGACATTTTTTGGCTGTATACGTAGAGTATATGTCTTCTTTTTCTTGATAGTAGGTGCAGTTTGCATGAAGGGTTTGTCCTCCCTATGACTGCACCAGTACTGATGTTGGTAGAGGCGTTTATGTTGAGGATGATAAGAGTTCCAAAAGTGCTTGTTGCGTTGTGCTGTAGACAGAGGAGCGGCGACTACAACAGAGGTGTGTGTTAGAGGGAGACTTGCGGCACCGTAGGGGGGTGTGTTGTGTTTATGGCGTCAGCTGATCCTTGGTGTTGCGACGAGGCAGTTGTTGTCTGTGTTTAGCTGTTGGTGGCGCCAGGTATAAATGTGGCGCGGGTCAGATGTGACCCAATTTGATGGTCGACTGGAGATATTTAGCCAGTGCTTTGACTATTTGGTATTTTTCCTCTAACGAGTGATCACCTTCTCCTAACATATGCTCGATGGTAAAGGGTATTTTAAGTGAGATAAATACTTGTTTGAAATTTACTCTGGCACTATAATGTCGGAAGCAGTGAAGGAGATAGTGTTCGATTGTTTCAGGCACCTGACAGTGGATGCAGAGTTCGTTGATGTCTGTTCTGTACTTAGAGCTGTGTGCTGCTAGTTTGGTGTGTCCCAGCCTTAATCTGGTCATCGCTATATCAATTTCTCTGCTTTTATATCTGACATGTTTCCAAGTTTCCCATTTCTTTTTAATGGACCCATAGTGCAAAGGTGAGCATCACGTTTTCCCTTTCGTCGCAAAATCTTGGGTGATGGTATTTTTGAAGGCTCCTTTACGTGCAACATGGGGAATTGGATGACGGGTAATGTGAGGTGTGTTGTGCATTGCTTTGGCTAGTTGGTCTACAAGTTCATTATGGAGAATACCACAATGCGCTGGGACCCATTGGATAGAGGTGTCATAACCGTTCAAACGATGTTCATGAAGAAGTTGAAGACATGGGTAAACAAACTCCTTGCACGTTGTTGAAGAGTATGTAATTGCTTGAATCACACTCTTGGAGTCACTGCAGATTGTATATGTCCCGATTGGTAATGTTGTGATTATTTGGAGAGCTTGATATAAGGCATATAATTCAGCTGTGAAAACAGATAGTTGGCTTGGTAACCGCCATCCCTGCTTGAGATGGTATTCCGGTATCCATACAGCGCTAGTGACCGAGGGTACGCTGTTCATGATGATGCGAGATCCATCTGTATAAATCGCTGTGGTATTTGGGTAGCAATTTTTCATTGTTGAGACAAAGACTGAGGCTATGGCTGAGTTTGGTGCAGACTTTGGAATGTTGTCTTCGAGTTGTATTGCTGTATTAGGAGTTGTATAAAGCCAAGGTGGAATAGGGGGGACAGTAAGTTGGGTTTCCGAGTTTTGGTGTAGAGAGAGGTCTATATTGAGGTTATTGTAGCCCGTGTGAGGAAAGGTTGCGAGTGATTGGTTGGGAAGCGGGGTTATGTGAGATAACTGTTGGGTTAATTTTTTATCTGTATGGGTGTGTCTGGTGAGAGGTGGTTCTAGTGAGGGCTTTAAGTATGGCGAGTCGGGGTTGTGTCTTCTGTTTAAGGTGTTGAATGTGTGCTTTCCAGGTAAGTGAGGGCGAGTCTAAGTGCATGCCAAGGTATTTATGTTCTCGTACGTGTTGGATGGGAGTGTTGTGTATTGTGAGGGTGGGTAGATGAGCAAGTCTTTTTTTAGTGAAAATCTGATAATAGGTTTTGGTAGTACTAACTTGAAGGCCCCATTGTTGTGTCCAATCTATGAGGTGGTCAAGTGCTGTTTGCATCGTTGAGACTGTATAAGGTAGGGCATTATCTGAATAATACATTGTTTTCACAGCAGTTGCAACATCAGGATCTGCGGGTTGGTACAAGAATTCAACCAACTACGAACCACTTACTTTGATGAAAAGGAGCAGTAGAGCAACAGAAGTACACTTACATCGCATCAGGCTTGGATACCCATGTGCATGGGAAATATGCACACAGGTTCCGGAAGATGAGAGAAAATGTCAGCACTGTGGAGAAATCCCCGACAGACCACTGGAACATTATCTAACACAGTGCACAGTTACAAACTCATTAAGATTTCAACTTAGATTCAACAATAAATACTCATACTCCGCCCAAATAAAACAGAAACAAGCAACCCATAGTGGGCCAGCCAGAGGCTTAGGGCTCGCGCAGGAATATCCCTGCAAAAAAAAAAAAAAATACATTGTTAAGTCGTACGCCGAGAGGTGAAGAGGATGGGTTTTGGGCAAATTTACTAGAAATGCAGCAAAAAGTATGCTTAGTATGGAGCCTTGCGGGACGCCCGGTTGTAATGGGATGACATCAGAAAACTCGCCTTGTATATAGAATTGAGAGGTCCTGTTCGTAAGACAGGACTGTAACCATAACAGTAATCATCCCCGTACGCCTAAACGTGCAAGCTTTGCCAGGAGGCAAATATGAGAAATGCTGTCAAAAGCTCCTTTGAGGTGTAGGTAGAGAACAATACAAAATTTACTGTTTCTGAGAGAGTTGCGGATTTCATGTTCAAGGCAAAGTATTTGATCTAGTGTGGAGCATTGCGGGCGAAATCCAGCTTGGAGTGACGGTATAATATTGTTATGCTCAAGGTACCATTGGAGCCGAGTATGTACTAGCCTTTCCATGACTTTATTGAGGCATGATAGTAAGGAAATAGGTCTGTATGACGCAGGTTGGAATGGGTCTTTCCCGGTTTAAGGAAAGGAAGAATAATACTGGTCTGCCGTTGTTGTTTAAGATTCGCTACCTGGAACAAAAAGTTCCAAATAGCACGGGCTATGGTGAGCCCGTAGTAGGTCTGCCATTGTGAGGGAATATTCCGTGAGTCCAGCATAAGTTGTAGTAGTTTAGAAGAGTACTATGTGCAGTCGATGGAAGATATTTGATGAGTTCATATGGAATTCCATCCTCTCCAGGAGCCTTGCCAAGAGGTAGGTGGGTTATGGTTAATAGTAGCTCGCTTAAGGTGTACATGTTGTCGACGCCGAGCATGGGTAGCAGTATGGCACGATCAATTTCTTGTCTGAGGGAGTTTACGTCAAAATACTATAAGGATGACGGGAGACACCGTGCTCTATGATGCCCGCAGTGTTGCAGGGGGGACCCAAGCACAACTCATATGAGGCATGACTAGCAATATTGATTAATGTTAATTATATATGTGTTCAAGGACAATTTTAATTGGTTGAGTTGCAAAACTTCGAATAGGCAAAATGGTGCAAATCTAAAGACCTTATTGTAATATAATACATAATATATATATATATATATATATTTAATGATGTTATATTTAATTAAATAAATCTAATAGATGAATTCCATTTCTTATTTCAATTTGTTTTCCTCAGTGTTAATTCACGCAAAAAACTTTTGTGATTTGTTGAAAACTTACAATTGACAGCTTCGTTCACAGATTTTCAAGTTCACAATTAATTCGTAGAAGAATAAAAGTCTGCCAATAGTTAATATATTTGCTCCCAGAGAAGAGTTGACGAGCCGCTCCTTGTTACTGACAAGTAGCGATCATAAGCAACACAGTGTTCCTTAGGGCTGATAAGTCACAAGAAACACTGAGGACTCGGGTACTAAGTGATGTTGACGTTGTACAGGGAACAGGTACCGGCTACGGTTGATCAGCACGGGCATCTTGAGCTGCCCAATCACCTTCTCCGTGGACCAGCACGCCTTCACCATCATCAGCACCGACGGCTCCCCCGTCGTGCCTCGCCCGGCTCACTCCCTCGTTATATATTCAGGTCAGTCCTAATGTACCTTTCTTGCTGGCTTTTATACTGGATCTTGCGGTCACTTATTGGCACTAGACATAGTGTCTCACTCTGTCCGGCCACAGGCGCAGGCAGGTGCACCTGTATGGGCAGTGGTGGTTGGTGGTGGCAGTGGTGGTTGGTGGTGGTTGTGGAGGCTGGTGGTGGTAGTGGTGGCTGGTGGTGGTAGTGGTGGCTGGTGGTGGCAGTGGTGGTTGGTGGTGGTTGTGGAGGCTGGTGGTGGTAGTGGTGGCTGGTGGTGGTAGTGGTGGCTGGTGGTGGTAGTGGTGGTAGTGGGGCCTGGTGGTGGTAATGGTGGTTGGTGGTGGTAATGGTGGTTGGTGGTGGTTATGGTGGTTGGTGGTGGTAATGGTGGTTGGTGGTGGTAATGGTGGTTGGTGGTGGTAATGGTGGTTGGTGGTGGTAATGGTGGTTGGTGGTGGTAATGGTGGTTGGTGGTGGTTGTGGAGGCTGGTGGTGGTAGTGGTGGCTGGTGGTGGTAGTGGTGGCTGGTGGTGGTAGTGGTGGTAGTGGGGCCTGGTGGTGGTAGTGGTGGCTGGTGGTGGTAGTGGTGGTTGGTGGTGGCAGTGGTGGTTGTGGAGGCTGGTGGTGGTAGTGGTGGCTGGTGGTGGTTGTGGTGGTTGTGGAGGCTGGTGGTGGTAGTGGTGGCTGGTGGTGGTTGTGGTGGTTGTGGAGGCTGGTGGTGGTAGTGGTGGCTGGTGGTGGTTGTGGTGGTTGTGGAGGCTGGTGGTGGTAGTGGTGGTTGGTGGTGGCAGTGGTGGTTGATGGTGGTAGTGGTGGCTGGTGGTGGTAATGGTGGCTGGTGGTGGTAGTGGTGGTAGTGGGGCCTGGTGGTGGTAGTGGTGGCTGGTGGTGGTAATGGTGGCTGGTGGTGGTAGTGGTGGTAGTGGGGCCTGGTGGTGGTAGTTGTGGCTGGTGGTGGTTGTGGTGGATGGTGGTGGTAGTGGTGGCTGGTGGTGGTTGGTGGTGTCTGGTGGTGGTTGTGGAGGCTGGTGGTGGTAGTGGTGGCTTGTGGTGGCTGGTGGTGGTAGTGGTGGCTGGTGGTGGTTGGTGGTGTCTGGTGGTGGTTGTGGTGGTAGTGGTGGTTGTGGTGGTTGTGGTGTTTGGTGGTGGTAGTGATAACTAGTGATGGTTGTTGTGGCTGATAGTGGTAGTAGTGGCTGGTGGTGGTAGTGGTAGCAGTTGTGGTTGTGGTGGCTAGTTCTGGTTGTGGTGCCTGGTGGTGGTTGTGAGAGCTGGTGGTGATTGTGGTGCCTGGTGGTGGTTGTGAGAGCTGGTGGTGATTGTGGTAGCTACTGGTGTTAGTGGTGGCAGTGGTTACTGCTGTTGGTAGTGGTGGCAGTGGTGGCTGGTGTTGGTAGTGGTGGCAGTGGTGGCTGGTGGTGATTGTGGTGGCTACTGGTGGTAGTGGTGGCAGTGGTGGCTGGTGTTGGTAGTGGTGGCAGTGGTGGCTGGTGGTGGTAGTTGTGGCAGATGGTAGTAGTGGTGGTTGTTGGTGGCTGGTGCTGGTAGTGGTGGTTGGTGGTGGCTGGTGGTGCTAGTGGTGGCAGTGCTGGTGGTGGTAGTGGTGGCAGTTGTGGTAGTGGTGGTTGGTGTTGGTAGTGGAGATTGGTGTTGGTAGTGGTGGCTGGTAGTGGCAGTGGTAACTGGTAGTGGCAGTGATGGCTGGTGGTGATAGTGGTGGTGGTTGGTGGTGGTTGGTGGTGGCAGTGATGGTAATTGATGGTTGTGGTGGCTGGTAGTGGCAGTAGTGGCTAGTGGTGGTAGTTGTGGTTGGTGGTGGCTGGTAGTGGCAGTGGTGGTAGTAATGGCTGGTGGTGGTAGTGGTAGCAGTGGTGGTTGTGGTGGCTAGTGATAGTTGTGGTGGTTGTAATGGGTGGTGGTGGTAGTGGTGGCTGGTAGTGGCTATGATGGCTGGTAGTGACAGTGGTGGTTGGTGGTGGTTGTGGTGGCGTGCGGTGCTGTTAGAGGTTTACGACACTAACATAAGCTGAAAGTACTTTTGGGGCTAATAATAATCCAATACTGACACGCATTGTAATTATTTGTCTTACATTTAATAAGAGTAACTGTATCATAGCGCATTTGGCCATCAAGAGCTGGACTTGCAGTTAACTTTCTTGCCTCACGTGGACCTGGTCCTCGCCTCCGTCTGTAACATACAATGAGTCTAGGCAATACTTGTGTGTGTGTATGAGCCAGTGACCGGCAGGTGAGCGCTGGGACGTGGTGATCCAAGCTGACCAAGGCCGCTCTGGAACCTTCTGGATGAGCTTCATGGGCTCCATCGACTGTGCGAACACTCGCGCTCGTCAGTTCGCTCTGCTGGAGTACGAGAGTCAGCGAGCTCAGGTCAAGGGAACGTTTTATAGCAGCCAGCAGCGTGGTGGGGGCGGGACGCCTGCTGGAGCACTGCCTCCCCCGCCATCGTTCACTGACGTTCCTCCTCCTGGCGTGGTGAGTTATCACTCCACACACTCTTCTCCGCTCATATTTACGAAGCTTCGAATCCCCACATCATTTGCACTCAACATTTTAGATAATCTTTTTTTAATTTAAATTAAACCATAATTATTTGACTCTCAAGTATATATAGTATCGTATTGTATGATAACATTCTGTACACTGTATAACTTCCTACTATAGTGTATAATGAATAGTGACATTGGGTATGGTTTAGGTATGAGGTAGACATAGACATTATATATATATATATATATATATATATATATATATATATATATATATATATATATATATATATATATATATATATATATATATATATATATATATATATATATATATGAGGGCACATGGCTCCTCGTTACATAACTACCAGAGGTTAGGTTAAAGAACAACTAAGTTAATGTAACAGTTAATATCTGGGGAGACAAACACTAGTCCTTGTGGCTTCTTTATATTTCAAAACCTTTCCAAAATAAACGTTTAGTGTTATGTATTGAAGCTTCCTAATGTTGCAAAATGTTATTCTTGGTTTAATGATTAAGCGTTTGGGAATATTTTCAAAATATAAAGTTCAAAGATTTTTTTAGTGACTATGTTGTCTTACAAAATATTTAATTATGTTCTTCCACAGAGTCGGAACATTTTTGAGAAGTTTTGATATTATGGGTAGCGTTTCAGAGCTGTAGAAAACTATATTTAAAAAATATTCTAACAGGAATTAGGTCAATTCCCTTGTGTTGGAACAGATCTCCTGTAAACTAACCTAGCCAAGCATACCCTACCTTAGCTAGTATACTTGTTAGTTGTTAGTATACACTGCCTTAGTTTAACATAAAATAGTACACTCTAAATAAACCTAACTAGCTAACCCTGTATTAGTTCAACGTAAAATAGTGTGCCCCTAACCAAACCTAACTAGCATACCCTACTTTAGGTTAAAGCTAAATTTTATAAACTAACTAAACCCAACCTAGCATAACTGAAGTTTACCTTGCATAACCTAACTAAACTTACCATAAGATAACCTAACTTGGTTTAAGGTAACCCAGTATGACCTACCTGAAGTAACATGTCACATAACGTAACCTATGAGTCCCCCTGGCACACGCACATGCTCTCAATTAACTCTTTTAATTGCAAAGGGTTTTGCCATTTTCTAATTATTTTGTCTTTTAGATATAAGTCTTTTATAAAAAAAGGGGGGGGGGGGGTGGTAGGAGAAGCGAACACTCATACGTATTCAGAGTTAAATGGCAAGTTTTTCTCTGAATGCTCTGTGTTCCCTTCTCTGAGGCTGTGGGTCCCTATAATTGCACCAGAGGTGGTACCTCCCTATATAGCCTTTTGTTATACTGATGTCACTTATAAATTGTTGTTGTGTCAAAAGCTCATCATTTTTAGTACTTTTGACACTTGACTGTAAAAACACCTTTCTTTTTTATTTTCCAAATTTTTCATGTTTTCTTAAGTAAAGCCATGTTAGTGTTAATGTTACCTCAGGTTACCACATGTTAATGATTGTGTTATCTTAAACTAAGATACACTGTTAAGGTTTCCTTAAGTTAACACATATTGTAAGTGATTTATTAAGCACAGGAAGAGTGTGAGTGATATAGTGAGGTAAGAGTGACACTGTGTAACCTTGCAGCAAGTGAACAGCGTCAACAGTGCCTGCTATGATGACCTGGTGTGTGTGGCTGACCTCAGGTCCCACTACTCCCTGCCGGAGGCGCTGAAGACTCCCCACGCCGACATCACACTATATCTGGCCTTCCAGGTCCGCAACATTAACAATGATCATTTCTACTCCAGGGTATTTTATCCTTTTGAAGCCGGTAAGTAGTAGCTCTTGTATTTCTGTTTTATAATTTCTTTATAAATTAGAGTTTCGGGCAAGGAGGTAATATGTAGAGTAGCGGTTTGCAGAATCGACTCAGTGCCAATTGGTCCTGGATTCGATCCGCGTGCAGAACGGAGACGTTTAGGCAAGTTTCCTCTTACTTGATGACTTCTACTCGTCAAGTACTAGGTAGGTAGATACCTAGGAGTTGGTCGACTGTTTGGGATTGCATCGTCTTGCAAGCCCCCCCCTGTTCCCCAGTGTTTTCTTAAACATTTTCAACTGAAAATTCTGAATGCTTCTTTTCACCTCCCTCAGGAAACACAGAAGAATTCTCTTATTCATGTCCATAATATATGCTGGTACTGACTATCCTTGATTTGTTAAGTCGTTTCGTAACACTCATTAAGCACATACATCTGCCTCACTACTGTGAGGTGAGTAGTGAGGCAGATACACAGGAGGAGATACTCACATATTGAAGATCTCATTTCTCTAAGCGAGATTATTAATTAAATATCACCAGCTTGTAATATATATATATATATATATTATTAAATATGACCGAAAAAGTAGGATTAATAATTCTAACACGAATTTTCTCAATCTTTCGTACATTTCTTTTCACTGTTAGAGGTTATTCAAAAATCAATTCTCCAAAATTCATTTTTATTTCTAGTCTGACGCGACACTTGAGCGCGTTTCGTAAAACTTATTACATTTTCAAAGACTTTACACATACACAACTGAATAGAACTTACATATCTCCGATTTGTTTATATCTACATTTGAGTGAGGTGGATGGGGTGAGGTGGTATTTAATAGGGTATTAATTTCATCAACACAAGACAGAACACGAAACAATGGGTATTGAAATGGAAGTGATTGTAGAAAGCCTATTGGTCCATATTTCTCCGCTCCAATATAGAAGCATCAAGAAATATGGACCAATAGGCTTTCTACAATCACTTCCATTTCAATACCCATTGTTTCGTGTTCTGTCTTGTGTTGATGAAATTAATACCCTATTAAATACCACCACTGTGTTGTTCCCCCTCCACCACTGTGTTGTTCACCCTCCACCACTGTGTTGTTCCCCCTCCACCACTGTGTTGTTCCCCCTCCACCACTGTGTTGTTCCCCCTCTACCACTGTGTTGTTCCCCCTCCACCACTGTGTTGTTCCCCCTCCACCACTGTGTTGTTCACCCTCCACCACTGTGTTGTTCCCCCTCCTCCACCGTGTTGTTCCCCCCCACCACCACCGTTGTTGTTCCCCCTCCACCACCGTGTTGTTCCCCTCCACCACCGTGTTGTTCCCCCTCCACCACCGTGTTGTTCCCCCTCCACCACCGTGTTGTTCCCCCTCCACCACCGTGTTGTTCCCCCTCCACCACTGTGTTGTTCCCCTCCACCACCGTGTTGTTCCCCCTCCACCACCGTGTTGTTCCCCCTCCACCACCGTGTTGTTCCCCCTCCACCACGGTGTTGTTCCCCCTCCACCACTGTGTTGTTCCCCCTCCACCACCGTGTTGTTCCCCCTCCACCACTGTGTTGTTCCCCCTCCACCACTGTGTTGTTCCCCCACCACCACTGTGTTGGTCCCCCTCCACCACTGTGTTGTTCCCCCTCCACCACCGTGTTGTTCCCCCTCCACCACTGTGTTGTTCCCCCTCCACCACCGTGTTGTTCCCCTCCACCACTGTTGTTGTTCCCCCTCCACCACCGTGTTGTTTCCCCCTCCACCACTGTGTTGTTCCCCTCCACCACTGTGTTGTTCCCCCTCCACCACCGTGTTGTTCCCCTCCACCACTGTGTTGTTCCCCCTCCACCACCGTGTTGTTCCCCCTCCACCACTGTGTTGTTCCCCTCCACCACTGTGTTGTTCCCCCTCCACCACCGTGTTGTTCCCCCTCCACCACCGTGTTGTTCCCCCTCCACCACTGTGTTGTTCCCCCTCCACCACTGTGTTGTTCCCCCTCCACCACTGTGTTGTTCCCCCTCCACCACTGTGTTGTTCCCCCTCCACCACCGTGTTGTTCCCCCTCCACCACCGTGTTGTTCCCCCTCCACCACTGTGTTGTTCCCCCTCCACCACTGTGTTGTTCCCCCTCCACCACTGTGTTGTTCCCCCTCTACCACTGTGTTGTTCCCCCTCCACCACTGTGTTGTTCCCCCTCCACCACTGTGTTGTTCCCCCTCCACCACCGTGTTGTTCCCCCTCCACCACTGTGTTGTTCCCCCTCCACCACTGTGTTGTTCCCCCTCCACTACTGTGTTGTTCCCCCTCCACCACTGTGTTGTTCCCCTCCACCACTGTGTTGTTCCCCCTGTGTTGTTCCCCCACCACTGTGTTGTTCCCCTCCACCACTGTGTTGTTCCCCCTCCACCACTGTGTTGGTCCCCCTCCACCACTGTGTTGTTCCCCCTCCACCACCTGTGTTGTTCCCCCTCCACCACTGTGTTGTTCCCCCTCCACCACCGTGTTGTTCCCCCTCCACCACCGTGTTGTTCCCCCTCCACCACTGTGTTGTTCCCCTCCACCACTGTGTTGTTCCCCCTCCACCACTGTGTTCCCCCTCCACCACCGTGTTGTTCCCCCTCCACCACTGTGTTGTTCCCCCTCCACCACCGTGTTGTTCCCCCTCCACCACTGTGTTGTTCCCCCTCCACCACTGTGTTGTTCCCCCTCCACCACCGTGTTGTTTCCCCTCCACCACTGTGTTGTTCCCCCTCCACCACTGTGTTGTTCCCCCTCCACCACCGTGTTGTTCCCCCTCCACCACCGTGTTGTTCCCCCTCCACCACTGTGTTGTTCCCCCTCCACCACTGTGTTGTTCCCCCTCCACCACTGTGTTGTTCCCCCTCCACCACCACTGTGTTGTTCCCCCTCCACCACTGTGTTGTTCCCCCTCCACCACTGTGTTGTTCCCCCTCCACCACTGTGTTCCACCACTGTTCCCCCTCCACCACTGTGTTGTTCCCCCTCCACCACTGTGTTGTTCCCCCTCCACCACTGTGTTGTTCACCCTCCACCACTGTGTTGTTCCCCCTCCACCACTGTGTTGTTCACCCTCCACCACCGTGTTGTTCACCCTCCACCACCGTGTTGTTCACCCTCCACCACCGTGTTGTTCCCCCTCCACCACTGTGTTGTTCCCCCTCCACCACCGTGTTGTTCCCCCTCCACCACCGTGTTGTTCCCCCCACCACCACCACGTGTTGTTCCCCCTCCACCACTGTGTTGTTCCCCCTCCACCACTGTGTTGTTCCCCCTCCACCACCGTGTTGTTCCCCCTCCACCACTGTGTTGTTCCCCCTCCACCACCGTCCACCACTGTGTTGTTCCCCCTCCACCACTGTGTTGTTCCCCCTCCACCACTGTGTTGTTCCCCCTCCACCACTGTGTTTGTTCCCCCTCCACCACTGTGTTGTTCCCCCTCCACCACTGTGTTGTTCCCCCTCCACCACTGTGTTGTTCCCCCTCCACCACCGTGTGTTCCCCCTCCACCTGTGTTGTTCCCCTCCACCACTGTGTTGTTCCCCCTCCACCACTGTGTTGTTCCCCCTCCACCACTGTGTTGTTCCCCCTCCACCACCGTGTTGTTCCCCCTCCACCACTGTGTTGTTCCCCCTCCACCACCGTGTTGTTCCCCCTCCACCACCGTGTTGTTCCCCCTCCACCACCGTGTTGTTCCCCCTCCACCACTGTGTTGTTCCCCCTCCACCACTGTGTTGTTCCCCCTCCACCACTGTGTTGTTCCCCCTCCACCACCGTGTTGTTCCCCCTCCACCACCGTGTTGTTCCCCCTCCACCACTGTGTTGTTCCCCCTCCACCACTGTGTTGTTCCCCCTCCACCACCGTGTTGTTCCCCCTCCACCACTGTGTTGTTCCACCACTGTGTTGTTCCCCCACTCCACCACTGTGTTGTTCCCCCTCCACCACCGTGTTGTTCCCCCTCCACCACTGTGTTGTTCCCCCTCCACCACTGTGTTGTTCCCCCTCCACCACTGTGTTGTTCCCCCTCCACCACTGTGTTGTTCCCCCTCCACCACTGTGTTGTTCCCCCTCCACCACTGTGTTGTTCCCCCTCCACCACCGTGTTGTTCCCCCTCCACCACCGTGTTGTTCCCCCTCCACCACTGTGTTGTTCCCCCTCCACCACTGTGTTGTTCCCCCTCCACCACTGTGTTGTTCCCCCTCCACCACCCCCTCCACCACCGTGTTGTTCCCCCTCCACCACCGTGTTGTTCCCCCTCCACCACTGTGTTGTTCCCCCTCCACCACTGTGTTGTTCCCCCTCCCCTCCACCACCGTGTTGTTCCCCCTCCACCACTGTGTTGTTCCCCCTCCACCACTGTGTTGTTCCCCCTCCACCACCGTGTTGTTCCCCCTCCACCACTGTGTTGTTCCCCCTCCACCACTGTGTTGTTCCCCCTCCACCACTGTGTTGTTCCCCCTCCACCACTGTGTTGTTCCCCCTCCACCACTGTGTTGTTCCCCCTGCCCCACTGTGTTGTTCCCCCTCCACCACCGTGTTGTTCCCCCTCCACCACTGTGTTGTTCACCCTCCACCACCGTGTTGTTCCCCCTCCACCACTGTGTTGTTCACCCTCCACCACTGTGTTGTTCCCCCTCCACCACTGTGTTGTTCCCCCTCCACCACTGTGTTGTTCCCCCTCCACCACCGTGTTGTTCCCCCTCCACCACTGTGTTGTTCCCCCTCCACCACCGTGTTGTTCCCCCTCCACCACTGTGTTGTTCCCCCTCCACCACTGTGTTGTTCCCCCTCCACCACTGTGTTGTTCCCCCTCCACACTGTGTTGTTCCCCCTCCACCACTGTGTTGTTCCCCCTCCACCACTGTGTTGTTCCCCCTCCACCACTGTGTTGTTCCCCCTCCACCACCGTGTTGTTCCCCCCTCCACCACTGTGTTGTTCACCCTCCACCACTGTGTTGTTCCCCCTCCACCACTGTGTTGTTCCCCCTCCACC